CGGGAGGCCTCGTCACACTACTGGACATTCCTGATTTTCGATTCCTAAGTTTCATTGAGAAGAGGGAGAGAGATAGAGAGACAAGTGTTAACCATATAATTTTAGACAAATTATTCTCCTAACCCTTTTACCCGTGAGAGTTACTGGGCACTAATTTCTCCCCATAGCGTCACCCTTGATTCAAATGTTAAGGTCATAATTAAAAGGAAAATTATCACCAATTCAAAAAGCGACTAATTGTCAAATAAATTGTTCATGTTAATGTCAAGGCAAATGTAAATATAACAGAGTGGGGAATATGAATATTGATGTTGGGGTGTAGAGGATTAATTAAGACGGAGTATCAAAGGTCAAGGGTTAATGAGGAACCTCACCAGCTAAAGGACATGTACAGGCCACCAATCACTCCCACGATAAGCACAGGAATACCAATCCACATCAAAGCCATTGTCCTCTCTCTTTTCTGTTCCTTTTGTGAGACCTGAAATTGTTAGAAAGGAAAGTATTGTCTCTCTTGGCACAGCCTCGACCTCAGATGTCTTAAGCGCAGGAAAACTCAATTATGTACAATCACTGCCACATACACTGTCCAGAATTATAATTACGCAAGGATTATACAACGAAAACGCGACGACAAAAAGTAAACTCACCTCGTCCGATGAGAGATCCATTAAAACGGCAAAGTTTGACAGATGACTACATTGACAAATTGAGTGGGTGTGGTTATTGTATGCTAGCCAGCAGCCACGTGATGACCACGCCCCGCCTCTGTGGGGACTGGTGAAATAAATATGAGAGACACTTACTTAGATCCAAAAGAAACTAATTTGTTGCGTTAAAATTGAGGAAAACAGAAATAAACGTGTCTCATTATCAGTGGAAAGACATTCTCCGATGGCAGAGTGTTTTCATGCGCTGGACTCAGGATCGAGAAAACTGGGCTCGAACCTGGACCATGTTTCCGTTATCTTAGCCTCAGTGCCTCTTTCTATTCAGGGTTATAAATGGGCGCCCAAAAGTCGTCCGTGATGGACTAGAATCCCAACCACTTTCAAAAACAAATAGAAAAACTCCTCTTCGCCGCCTGCCAATCTAACTCAGATGAGCCCCGCCTCCGTGGCACGGGCTTCTCAGTGCGCATGACAAAGGCTTTTAACGTTTACAGAAACATAGATGCTAACGAAATGAATGTTTGTCACAAACATACCTCAGTGCGTAATCCCAAAATACACATTTAGGATTTCCACGCTTTCGCTGTCAAAAAAAACGAGAAAAGAAATGGTTTATAGATTTTACTACTTGAGTTCATACACTTCTACAGGTTTCAAAATAAAAGGATGGCATTTCAATTTCCAAACTTTTTTAGACCTTCAACTATTATAAGTGACCAAGAAGGAATTTTTCCTTACAATATAAACACGATACCAAGCAGGAATGCAATGAGAAAGAGGAAAAATACGAATAAGGGGATTACTAGTTGATCCAATAACAAATTCTCCAAACTAGCATCATACGAGTTGTGTGGCAGACAGTAACGAGAATTACTTAAGATATCTTGGGGGTTAAAAGGGATAAGATTGCATGAACCTGCCATCTTACCTTGATGTGACTAAGTACTATAGTAACGGGTGGGGTAATCTTCCCTTGGGGGTGGGGGTGCAGTACCGTTGACATCACTTTGGAATTTGGACCAAGACCAGTACTGTGGGAAGACATAAGTAACTTGTTAGCTAGAAACTAACATTGCTCGTGAGTTGTGTTGAAAGTCATGAAGTTCATATTGATCAATTTAATGTAAAGTCTTACCTGACGTTGGAATCGGGAAGCAAGTAAGGCAAACTTTTAAAACTGATTGTAGCAACACTCACATCTTTTGTAGCTGAAACATGAACGTAAATATTTTCTATTTAGTTGTAACCTTTTGCACCCTGACATCAATATGTATATTCTCCATAATGTTTTCTATACGTTTCCTAAGGTGCTGACAAGGAGATTTTTTTAACAATCAAGAGCTTCTTTTGTCGGTGAAAAGTTCCTTTATTTTTCTGACCTTAATGTTTGATTCAGGGGTGTTATGGTAAGGATAAATTAGATGCCAGTCCCTCTCGGGGGTTAAAGAGTTAAATTTTAAGATGAATCACACACGCATTTTGATTGGTTCTAACTTGTACTCTATAGGGTGACAGACGCATCGATGACGTCATTAGTAAAATTTGGCTTTTTTATCATAGCAAACAAATAGATTCCATGTTACAAAGTCCAGTGATAACAACAGTGACAGACACGGCTGCACCTCGTGTGTCACATGTTTGCTCTTAACAAATTTTGACGTCATCTGTGATCTATTACTTAACAGATGGATGGCAACATGGAAACTATTTATTAATGGTACCATAGAAAATAGGCTTAAAGGGAACTGATGTATTCCATTCCTTAAACATGGACTTACTTTGGGCAAACACAGAGGACGGAAGGGCAATGACGTCATGTCTCGCATCCCAGCGATTGACTCTTGGATTAGCAAAGTCTGGGAAAGTAAGACCATCATCCCCTGCAGACTTTCTGTCCATCTTAATAACTATTAAAAAATGAAACAATTCATTAACTGAAAATGGTAGAAAGATAAAGAGGTAGAAGTCAGATTTCTAACAGGAGATAAACAAATGGACAGGTGTACTGTAAGTAAGGACGGACGAACTGCTTTATCAAGTTGGCATCCATACACAGATGTCATTCGCGTGTGCTGTACGGTATGTTATAGAAAATGTTGGTCATCAGGGATTTGTAGATAAATGAATGTTTAATCGTTTCTTTCATGATTTAAGGTCAGGCTCTCAATTGTTTTTACGTGTCCTATTCATATCAAAGGTATGTGGACAAAACTAGAAGTAGAAGATTATGGGTAAGGTGAAAGTTCGCTTTTACCGCATTCGTACCCGTTATTCTTGAACTCCTGAAATTTAATAGCCTTTGCTTTGTAAATGTAACTGAATTGCTACGGAAAAGAATTTCTAAAGATGACTTGGTCAGCGTTAGCCCTTCGTCAAACTTCTTGATAAATTCAAATTATATAGATTATACAGCCAGACTGATAGACAGACAGGAATTATCCTCAGCCGGGAAATCTTTGAGTGGTGGATATCCCATTCCTGTTAACGGTCCATCACGCGGAGGGATTGTGGTTCTTTGCTTCGTGATAAACCGAGAAAAAATGGAAATTCTGAGAAGCGATCTGGGCCTCTTTAAGTAAACCTGACTCACCGATATTGTTAGTGATGGTAGGTTCCGCCATATCTTCTCGGGAAAGACGTCGTGCCGCTTGAAGTGCAAACATTTCCATGGCTCGCAGAACATCCGCTGACCCCGGTTTATTCTATAACAATGCAAATATCAGTTCATGATTCACTAGGTAGGCAA